AGGGGGGGGGGGAATGTATAAGGATGAACATCTGAAAATGCTCTGAATGTAATTCAGGCTTTTTTTTAAAGGAGGTACAGAAAATACTTTAAGACTGGAGAATATTTCACAGACACTGGTGTGAGACAGGAACAGCTGCTGCTGATGTGAAACTCTTGCTGTGGTCCTGATAGAGCTTTTTTAAGTGGCAGGCACAAAGCTGCAAGGCTATTGATGGATGCATTAAACAGGAGGCACAAAGAAGCTCCGTAGAGTTAATGGTCAAGCAGCAACAATAGCACAGTAGACTGGGCGCTGCGGTGTTGGCATACGGGGGACAATTGTAGTCAATTGCTATTTATCAATGTCTGGTTACTATGTATAGCTGGGAAATGCTGTCCATGGGTGACCGCTGCACAATGCAGAGCTGTGAGGCTGGAAATGTGCTGACCCTCCTCATGGAAGCAGAGATTTGCTTATAAACAGCTTAAGGCTTGCCTGCTGAGATTTCTAGATGTGCTTCATGCCAGCCTAACTCCACTCTCTTGACATCAAGCAGGGCAGAGTTAAGCTAAGAGTGTGCATGTGTGAAAATCCTACTCTGGCAACTTTCTTCTCACCTTCCACAGAGTTTAAAACAAGGTGTAAGACTTGTTTCCTAGTCTCCTGCCCATCGGTATCACTCTTGGAGTGTGAGGCACAAGGATGCTGCCCTCTCTCCCTAATTAGAGGTATCCCCTGTGAGCAGGCAGCGTCCAGTTGGCATAGAAACAGCTTTGCTAGGCTACAGCCTGTGCTGGTCCTCCCTGGCTCCCCTGGGCCACCCTAAGGAGCTCCAGCAAAAGGGGCTGCTGCATGCCAGCCCTTTAGTGCCTACAGATCATGGCAAGCGGTTATCCAGACCATGTTAAAAGTATGTTGTGCTCATCCTGCAGGTCGGAGGAGAAAAGGGTTTGAGTTTCCTGGTGCTCCTTCTCAGCTGCTCCTTGTCAGCATCCTGTGCATCAGACACAAAATGCCTGAATACTCCCTTTGTCCACACATTTTCAGTAGGAGAGCTGAAAGGATGCTTGGGTTGGTTGGGGAGACTGCTCCCATGGGGAGGGTGTGGAGGTGAAGGGAGTGAGTAGAAATAGGATTACCTGAGTGTTTGTATGAGCTTTCAGAGACCCCACACATGCACCTCCCTTCAGGCTGAAGGACAGGGAGGGAAGCAATCCCTTCCCCCTGCTCCCACCTCTGTGGAAGCCACTTGCTCCCCACAGGTCCCAGCATGGGCCAATTCTGTGCACTGGGACAACTTACGGCTGAGGGAGGAGGGGTCCCAGCGTGGTTCTCCTGGCTGTTGGAGGCTACAGAAGGACACAGAAAGTGTCCTTTCAACAGCCCAGTTGGCTTGTCACTGAGTTAACATATAGATCCTCAGCAGCCACTGATATTGCCACAGAGCAAGAAGTAGTCATAGTGTTGTGCCACTTGATTGCACAGGTGGGGAACGAGCCCGTTGACTTTCTGTACAGCACAGGGGGGGACTTTTTTTTTTACCCCTGGAGATTTCTAGATAACAATGCTGAAACTGAAAATTTAAAAATGCTAATTGTTAAAGCCAGATTCAGTATTTTAAAGTGTAAGGGGATCATATATCTGCCATGTACTCCAGAGCTTAAGGGCATGAACTGCCTAAAATTAAAGCCTGTTTTCCAGCCTTGTCTAATTTGTTAATAATACATGTAAAATGAAGAAGAGGTTTCAGAGCTTATCTGAGGTCTTGAGGAACAGGCTTAGCTGCACTTTTTTGGCAGCATCCTCTGATATAAGGGTAGGTGAAAAGCAGTATCATTTGATAGTACCAGCAAGGGAGAGGCATGGGGCCACCAGGCCCATAGCACCCCCTGTGTGAAGCAAAGCCCATTTCTGGTCTGATGCTAAAGATCTATGAAACAATTTTAGAAAAAAATAAACATCTATCACTTGGACTAATAATTTGGCTTCTTGGTTGAAGACATGTAGCAATTAGAGCTCTCTAGCTCTTCTTTCCTTGTCCTGGTGTTCTCAGTGCTGAGTGCTCTTATCTGCCTTTCACTCAGGAGAAACTAATGAGGTCTTAGCACTTCACAGGCACATTGTGTTTGAGGGCCAGGACCCCAGAGGGATTTACAGATAAAACTGACAGACTTTAATACCTTCTCACAGATAGTTCTCTTTTCCTGCCCAGTTGCAAAATCTCACTAAGAAATGAAACCTGCATTACTGCCTAAGCTTTTGCTTTGCCCTCACCCTCGGGAAACTGCCCAGAAACCAGACTCTCCTGACCACAGCAGCCTGCTTCCTATGCAATACCCACCTCTGGAAATGCATCCAGCAGCGCTTTGGAGAGCAGCAGCCCCGGGGCTGAACAAAGCAGAGCCCACAGAGGCAGAACCCGGAGGCTCAGCCACACTTCCCTTAACTTCATCTGCTTTGCACATCTTGCATGCTGCTATTTTCCCCGTTACACAAAAGCAAATGAAAGGGCAGAGGAGAAATAAGGTTGCTAAACAGCACCAAGACTCACTTTGCATAAGATTATACATCACCATGCATCCCCCGCCGCTAAAGAGTCCCATGAAAACAGCCATTTGCTGCAGTTTTCTTAGAGAAGCTGGCATTTTTCCTCCCTGAAAAGAAAAAGGAAAGACATTTGTTGTAAAAAAAGAAAGCTAAAGGGTTATTTCCCTCCCCACCCCCCCTCTTCTCTTGCCTAAAAGCCCCTTCCAACCAGGCCTGAATGAAAGCGCAGTGCACAGGCATCAGGCTCCTGCCTGCTGCGGCCCCACCGCGTGCCCAGAAGGAAGGGTGGTGAGAACACAGCAAACTGAGGACCCAGCCGACTTGAATGTGTTTATTCAACTTCTTTTAGTGATGCCACCACTTTGCTAATTGCCGAGAAGAAAATGACCTCCCCGGTGTGGCCGGGGGCCAGCGGCGCATTGTGGCGGGGGGCTCGCGGTGCCTGTGCTCTCGCTCGCACACTGCGAGCATTCAGGCTCCGGGGGCTGGAGTTCTCTCTCGAGTAAACTCCTCTAAAGTAAACACGCTCAAGGCAAGGCTGGATTTGGCCCCGAGTGGTAAAGGACAGAGCCAAGCCAGCGCTGTGCCAGCAAAGATAATGGAGCCAGGGTGTGTGTATTCTGTTGTGTTGTTTCTTTTCCCAAGCCATGGATAAACAGGAAGGTTCTTGCAAGCTATTTTTCTTCCTTCCTGCACCCCTCCAGCCCAAGCTTGCCCTTTTAATGAGTCACAATTTTGGCATTTGAATGAATGACCCAGCAGAATAAGAAACACCTCTGAGAAAGTCAATCTACTAAAGACTTCCATGGTCTGGGTAAGAGGGGAACTGTGTGCCCTGAAGAGCCTGAGCTAATGCTCCTGTCCACAGCAGGTTAGTCGGAGTTGAGCTGAGTCGTCAGTGGGAGAGTAGCAAATTGCTTCAGGCTGTGGCAGGATGAGACTTGACCAAGCATCTGAGTATCGGCTTATGCTCGTGTTTTTCGTGTAGCTGGGATGGTAGGGAGGAGTGGTCTTGACAGGAATTAAAATTAAAATTAAATTAACAAAAGGCTGCCCTTTTCGATGTAAGCACACAGACATCTGAATACTTGGGGAAGCTGCATGGGATTTCTAATCCCAAAGGTTTCACACCTCGATCCCTGTGCCATGATGGTGTGACTGAAGTGTTACACTCAGCGAGAGCTGGTTAATAAACCAAGGCACCAACCAGTTACAGAAATGTGACCTGGGCAAGGCTGTTTGAGCCCTGTTGTGAAAAGCACCTCTAGCACCCCTCAGGTATGCCTTAGTCAGGTATTGCTCAGCTGACAACCACAGTTTAGAGAGGGTGGAGAGGCAAATGTCAGGACTCCTTCCTGTCGTGGCCAGGTCAGGATGACACGGGCAGCCTCCCTCTGCTCAGTGCTCCACTGATATGCCCACGCGCCATCTCTTGCGTCCTCTAGCTCAAGGGAAGCCTTGAATGCAACCCGGACACAACTGTCCTCTACTGAAAAGCCGTGGTTGAAGGTTTTCCTTGTTAACTAGTTCCCTTGATTTTAAGAGCTCTTTAATATTAAAGTTTACTGTTTAATTTAGTTCAGATTTATGGATGGCTAGTCACGGTAGCAACCCAGAGAAGCACATGAGTACCACGTCTATTTCATGCCCCCAAATCATGCCATTGGTACAGTCAGTCACCATCTCTCTCACTTCTGATCTGTTTCTCTGATGAGTTTTCTTCTTCACTTCCCCTGGGGAACTTAAGCAGCGTGAGAAGTTGCAGCAGAGGAAGTGTGAGCGTGTGTTTTTACAAAGAAATGGAGGCAGTGATTTCACAAGGACAGCGAGAGCTTTCTGCTTGCCTGCTTGTGTTTGTAACTTTCCTTAAATCGCAGTTTATAACATTATTCCCCCAAATCAAACAGCAAAATTTCACTAACTGAGTTTCTTGTAAGATCTGTGCAGCCAGGAGGATGATCTGACACCAACATCATGTAATAGGGAGGAAAACAAAAAATAAAAGATGATAAATCTGGAGGGCAGATCAAATATAACAGGCTGGCTCTGACCCGTGGCATCTGGTTTTGCCCCTTTCAAAGTTGTGGCCAAGCAAAATTTGCTTTCTGTGATGAAATTCAGGGTAATTGAACTCAAATGTCTGGGGGTGGGAGGTGCTGCCAGCGGTTTGCTGAGTAAAAGTGGGAAGATGTGGAGCTCTTGCACCAGTGAGGAGGTTTTGACTGAGGCTCAGGGGACCTGCCCAGCAAAGGGCGGAAATTCGAGGCTCCGCAACTCGCTGTCAGCGGGTTTGAGGTTTGTTAGGTCTCACGGTCTCCTCGCACCCAAACAAGGGGGATGGAAAGGAAGAGGAGCTTCGTGACCATCAGTCAGTCATGTGCTCACGCGTGCTCTCGTCACCTCCTCTGCTCACAGTGGGTCAGCAGCCACCAGTGCCCTGATGGTGCTGTGCTGAGATGGTGCCATCCAGCAAAGAGGGACCTTGGCAGCTGAGAAATGGTGATCCTGGTAAGGGCTGCTGCCCCATGCAGCACTCCTGGCAGCTTCTCATGCACTGACCCTGCCTGCAGCCATTGCCCACTGCTGGTCCTGGTGAGGCAGGGATGTGAAGGGTTGAGCTGCACCCTTGTGCAGCCCACACCAGCTCTGTGAAGGCCTTCATTGCCATTACAGGAGGATATCTCCATGGCTTGCTTTTGGTCGCAGCGGGAAGCCCACAGGCTGGGTGGGCCTGGGCACCCCATGCCCAGGCTAGCCCTTGATGCCCTCCTCCCACTTGTTTCTCAGCTGTTTTCCCCAGCCAGCAGGAAGAGGTTCAGAGCTACGCATTTTAACAAGCCTCTTGAGACCTCGTAAATGAAACCTTCCCTTTCATCCCACAATTCCTTGCTAGCTTCCTAAAGCAAGGACAGAGGTGTCCTTGGAGCCCAGTGCATTCCTCACAGGGTGGTTGCTGCTCCCTCTCCCTGACATCACGGTCCCTTGCAGCATGGCTGTCCGGATATTGCATCCAAATCCTCCAGCATCCCTTGGTATGCAGCTGCTGGTGGCTTCTGAATGATGACACTGGAGATACTAATGGTGTCAGCTTGTGGAAGACCAAAATGTAGTAAGGAGCTGTTGTCTGTGAGGACTCATCGCTAGGATTTCTGCCCTCTGGCCAACCGTGTTTGCTGCTCCCATCCTGACGTGCCATGGAGGTGGCTGGCGAGGGAAGGGAAGCAGAGACGTGCTCAGAGGCGTGCCTCCTGTCCTCAGCCTTTCTGAAAATAACTTATAGTCTGCAAAGCGTTGAGGCTGTTATAGGGAAGGACCAAATCCCCTCAACTTCATTCACCACAAAGAGAGTAACTGTTAGACAATGAATTTTGGAGAATCTTATCGATACAACATGATCTTCCCTCCCTTACGCCACTATCTGTGGCGGAGATCTCTCCTCAGAACCTGTTATACCACTAAAAAGTATGCAAGTCAACTGGTGGAAAAACAGATTTCTTCACAGCCGGTAATTAAAAAAGCATAATTTCCAAGCTACGCTGTTCTGCAAAAACATTTTTTTTCCCCTGTGCTATTTGTAGTGGTAAGAAAGATTAAGTGGAGATTAGCACACATAAAAACCACTGAGCCTACAGTTACCAAAAGAAGAGACATTAAATCATTATAAGTAGGGTTCTCTAAAAATAAATATTAAAGAGCAGAGCTCCCTAATAAGGGTGATGTTCATTTTGTGCCTTGAAAATAGTAAGATGTGGTGGAGAAGGTAGTATTTGGGCTTGACTTTGAAACTAAGCAGGACTCGGGCAGTTAACAAGATTTAACAAACCCAGAGAGGTGGAAGATTCCCAGGGTCACATGTGAAATGGTGGGTTACTGCAACAATAAAGTCTGGTTTTAATTAGACTTTGTTTTCTCCACAGAGGACCTTCTAAAAATAGGCTGGGCTTAAGATGTTCTCCCTTATTTCAGCAAATTCAGATTTTTCTGTTTTGGTCTCTGAAATTTGTGCAGCAGAGGTTGTTCTCTGGCACCTCCACCAAGGGCAGCCACAAACAATTTGATTTGCCTCAGATCTGGGTGAGGGAGCTGAGGCTGTAGGTTCCTTGGGGATGGCATTTCTTCCTCCTTCTCTTCCTCTTCCTCACACTACCAAGCTCTACCAGCACCCCCCAGCTTCTGAGTGTTATCACAGGCCAAACAGTAAAAAATAACATTGCTCTGAAACTGGAGAGAAGGAATTGGATCCATGCAAACTCGGTGTGATCACTGCTGGCTGTCTCAATGTGGGCCACTGCCTACCCACCAGGCCTAGGCAATATGTTGCCAGGCCACCAAGACAAGCAGCTGGGAGCCTTGTAAACGCTTTGAACCACTATAGTCCTGAGGTGCTGTCATGACACGCTAAATAGACGTGGCAAAAGGCTAGGATTAAAACTTATCAATAAGCCTGAACATGGACTTCAAAGCTGGAACTGCTGCCTAACCCTTCTGCAACAAAACTCTCCCTTGGGTGGTGGGATTTGAGTCAGCCCCGGGTCCAGCTTTTCCAGAAGCCACCCAGGTAGTCGCAGAAGTCACAGGAGATGAGGTTAATGTCAGGCAAACCACACACAAGCACACACTTGTATTTCACGTTCTTGCTCTCTTGCCCATCCATTGATCTTGTGAGATCCATCAGGCATCTGGGTGTGAGCCAATTTCTATACTAATAGCGTGCCAGGACAACATTTTAGATGCAGCTTCTCGATGCTCATGCTCACTGTCTACAAAATACCTTCCTCATCGGTACTGTCACTAAAGAGAGGACAGAACAGCAGAAGTGTTTCGACAGGATCATCGTTTCAGCATATTATTTCCCCCTTTTTCACTGAAATAGCCTCAACATACAATTTAATGTCATTTCTGAGAAGTAGCAGCACAAGTTGTGCCCTCTGCCAGGATGTTCAGAAATACCAAAGACTTTGTGTGTATGATTTGCCTGCACTCAAACCTCTGCAACTCTGTAGGAAAGAAGTTTGCTTAATCCACAGTCAAACCAAAAGCAGGAGTAATACTTTTTTTTCCTCAGTGGTTCTTCTCCAGAAGCACTGATAAGGCATAT